GTGCACCTGAGATTAAACAATATAGTGTGGCCTTCTTCACAAACTAGGCCACACATGGAAATCTTCATATCGCTCGGTCCAAGTTGGTTATGAACACAACGATCCGCCAGGCCTATTTACACGACCTGGCCGGGTGACTTTGTTCGCCCGGGAGCTCGAACTTGCGCCCAACTCTCCATATCAGCCAATAGAAACATGTGGGGATGATTTTCAGATGTCATGGAAATCATAGTATATTCTATATAAGTTGTCACTCTGCACAGCGTCGGTCTTCTTGAATCTTTCTCGAACGTACCGCCGATGGGTTTCCTTTTTCTCCGTATTGGAATTCCCTCCTGAGGATGGATAAAGCGCAGTCTCATGATCTCAATTATTATAGGCTGCAATGATGTCAAAAGCCATCAGCCACAACAACAAAAAAACACAGCTATCAATACATGACGGTATTAAAACCTAATACCGTATAACACCGTAATCATGATCTTAATAACTTACTCTTTTAGATATCGGCAAACTTTCTTCACGTCACCAATGATCTCGTCGAAATGTTATCGGCCCCAATAGCAAAAGCTACAGAGTCAAGTGTTTCCCTTTCTTCTACGGATGAGGGGTCGTGATGCGTGGGCGAGATGCTATGAGCGTCATGCATACCGACAAGAGAAGATCTTTGCAGTCGTCCTTACTTTGGTTGAATGGTGAAAGGTCTGTGTAGTTGTGGCTCTTTCAATGTCTTCAAGGCCAAATATCGACGCCTGAGTCAGAAACCCTTGTTCCCCCCCACGAAAACAAAAAACAACTCCAAGAGGACATGGTCCAGGACCAGCTGTACCCCAAACACTTACCTTGTCCGCTCGCTAACCCAATCCTCCCCAATGCCAACTCGCCGGTTCAGGAATAGAGACACAATCACAGGTCGACACTCCTTGCCAGACACTCTCCTCTTGTCCATCTCGCCCTCCAAGCTCCCCATGCACTCGGTCTTACACTTTCTTCTGGCGCCTCGTATTACTCAAACCCTCGGTCAGAACTTTCTTGTATATCATCTCATTAACCTCACCTACGATTTCTCTCGCTCCTGTGTAGTCTGTCCAGCAATGGCGGCTATCGCCAGAGAGGGATGGTAAACTAGGTTTTGTCTACCTAGTCATGGCCTGCTCGACGTTTCGATATCCTTGACTCACGTGGTTGGTTTCTTTCGAGTGGGAGGACGCGGTGACGGCGTGAGCGCGCGTTATCATCTCGTATCAGGCCGACAAGCATGGCGGAACCCATAGAGTCTCAAGTTGACGTAGCTCGTCGTTCCAGAATACGTCTGGAACCTATATTCTGGTCGGGTTGCTGGTATCCGTCCTTGCCTGGCACGGCCTGTCTCTTTTGGTGCTTCGGAAGTGGCCGGACCACGCCCGTAGCCTTCAGTCGTTAAACGGGCCGTGAGTGCTCCGACTGCCACAACGAGGCCGGTTCCTCGTCACACATGGCTCTTGAGGGATTACCACCAACGAGGGATCCGACGTAGCTCAGTCTACGGTGATGTTGTCCGTTCTAGACCCCCACCAGGTACTCAATGGTATTCGTTCAGCGGACGACAACGAAAGACAACTCTTGTGGCCGCAAACGGGCGTCGACGGAGGCATTCGAAATGCCATTGTGCAGGTCAAAATCCCGAGGCAGGATCAAGGTACTAGTCGGAGCAGTTCTCATGACTTGAGGTGTCGGCATGTTTTCGATCTCTCCGTTATGAGCGACCCGTAGTAGCTCAGTTGATAGCTCGATGACCTATTGATGGCCGCAGGCCGTCTCGCCAGAGGAGATAGAGTCGAGATCATGAGGTCATCACCTCAACATCCGTTCCTGAGCCTGATTTCATGTTTAGTCTCTTGCACATGCCAGTACCAAAACTCACAGATAGCTGCCGTTGTTTCCCCCACTTGGGATGGTCTCGAACATGCGACTGCCGAGCGTGGGGAGCTGTGCCCTCTCCAAGCTCTGGATCATCCCCAGATGGCGGGCGATGGGCCAAGCGAAAGGCTCGAGCAAAAAGACGGGCATTATGCGTTTCATATTAGACTTTTTCAATGGTATTGCAGACAGATAACCAATGCGCGTCAAGACATGCGTTCCAAAGATTGCCGGGTCGAGAACAGTCAGATTCAGAGAGGCAGAATGCCAGACTCTAGGAGAGACGCGATGAACAAACAGCGCAAACATGCACAGAGCTGTGATATCAGAACCCTGATAACCCGCATCATATGACAAAAGAGGATGTAGCAAAGAGCGCCTAGACAGACAACATCGTGACAATGACTCGTGCCCATCAAAGCAAGTTCGAGTCGTCTTTCGATCGCCAGACCGATCGATAGAGGAATACAAAAAGACAGAGGATCGAGGCAGAAGCGACTGCTCATCAGAGAGCTTAATATGAAAACAAGAAAGGTTCCAAACACAGTCAGCACGCTGTCTGAATTGAGTTCAACTCACATGGGGGACGCCCCGTCAAAGCGGTTCAGCTAAGCAAGTAAGGTCAGATCGAACGAACGAATTAGATTTTCCCGAAGAAAGAACCTCGCAGGATCGAAAAGACCGAGAAGAGGTGGCGGAATGGGCAGGAAGCCAGTGTGTTCGTCGCTGACAACACTCACTTGTTAAACCTGTGGCAGATAAAAGACTCTTCCCTCACTTTGCAACCAGGATGCCCTAAGAGTATGATTACAGATCTTCCATATCTGTCCACTATGTTGGCTTTCATTGCACCGCCCGGTATATCGCCTTCTGTGAGACCTTTCGTCCATATCGCACACATTGCCCGGGCGTGCTGCACCTCCGGTTTGTGGAGAAGTCACGACCAGCTCGAGTTGGCGCCAACAGTGTATTCTCCAAAATTGATTTAGACCATCCAGTGCACCCCAGCCCAAAGAAGTCAAAGGCTCACGTTGCACCAGTTGGGGTTCTCAGTGATAGACCAGCAGCCATGAAAGGGAAGGGGCTGCAACGGCAAGTAGCTTGCCGGCTTTGCCCATATCTTGTGACAAGACCGATTTCACATGGGAAGACGAGGGGAGGATTGATCTGTTTCATTCCGACCGAAGCGTCGTCGGCATCCCTACGTCATTCAGGATTAAGGCCGTCGATGCAGAGCAACAAAGCCTCAGTTGACAGGGTATTACGAACCAGTGTGCCAATATAACCCGCGGCCGATCAACCCAGCGAAGCTAGCATCCTTGCTACTAGGTCAACGGAATATCCGGCATGATGGATTCGACAGTCCTCATCCCGGCTTCGCTTCGTTTATGGGATCCTTTGTATTCAATCGAACCATACTCGCGAGCTCAGGGTAGCTGGAGCTCGTGCTCTAACAGCTATGCTGAATCTAAGCTGAGCCTGTACCATGCATGGACGATGCAAGTTGGACGTGAAACAACTCGCCTCCAAGAACTATTGCATGAATTCGATTTAAAATAGGACCGCCCAAATCATGTGTTTCATCAGTTTCTCCGTAGCCACAGCCCTCGCTCGTCATAGTGGTGGTATTATCCGAAACGGTTCCCTATAGTATGTGGGCCACGCGGTGATCAGCCAGCCACTCCACGCCCTCTGCACCAATACATAGCTCCGTCTCAAGCTTTCGCCGCTCATGACCCTTGCTGAGCCTCTGCTTGCGTCATTCAAGCTCGTCAACTCGGCTTCTTCCCCGTAGATTCCAACTCGCGTCAAGGCGGCAAACCCACCTCGATCTTGTCTGTCGGTTCGACTTAGTGCGTGGACAGTCTCCGACGTCTGTGACAATGCATCAGCAGCTGCCTCAGTAACAACCACATTCCTTATCAGAAGATGTGCTAGAGACTGCAGTAGATTTTGCTGGGGCTGTCCTGGCGGGAATTAGGTGGTAATTGGAAGAGCGCGAGGTTTCGATTATTGCGTAATGATTCTCACTTAGTCTGAAAAGCAAAGAAATGAGCTTAGTTAATTACCCCTTGAGCTTCCCATCTCGAGTTCGATAATGACGTATAAGTACTAAATCTGAACTGCGACGGTTAATTTTCAATGAATTACTCCATAGCCAGCCCCATGATACTCTCATCACCGTGACGAGTGATGCGTTTTCTGATATCAATATCAAGGAAAGCTGCTCCTTATTCGATGAATGTCTTCATCGCCTCATCGTCTTCGTCTGGTATGGTTAAGATGACGCCTCTTCCTCCCTCGTGTTGACACACACGTATGACATCTTCCTCCAACGACTTAGGGCACAGCATCACAGACTTCGCCACCGTACCCATACAAGTATACCCCTCTGATGGATACCATTTCGCCAGTGCCTTAGGTGCAACGGGCATTTCCGAGGACTGATTCAAAAACCTCGGTCAGCCTCCCGTCGCCATATGCTTCGTGGAGTTTCATTCGTCAACCGTGGAGTGGAATAGTCTTAGTGTCAGTTTTATGCAATCAAACTATATTGACAGAAAAAGACCAAGGTATTGTTAAGATCTTGAAAAGACAATCAGTCATTTGGACTCTGAGTCCTGTGATCCTTAGTGGCCTCGTTCTTATTTTTCCCTGGCCCGCTTCCCATGTAAGAGTTCCTTCGACATCGGCTTGGTCTCGTAAATAATACCATTCCAAGTTCTTCTTGTGCTTCGACCATGGCTGTTCTCTCAACGTTTGAGTACATGTTTTTTCTAGATTTTACTTTTGACAGTCATGTCTTTGATTATAGTTCACCTGCTTGAACAAATCTAATTACATGGAGATTTCTATAGTCTGGCCTGACATAAAGTACAAGGGAGGAGTTACAGGATGGCAATTTAGCTCTTGCGACGATGAAGCAATAACTTTCAAGAAGCCCCTTCTTGCTAAAACCGTAGACAGGAAGCCGGGCAATGTTCTGGACATAAAGGTAACTAGCCTTGCAAAGCCCGACTCTACCTAGCCTTCAGAAGCACCTGCAACCCCCCTGTGCCAGTCTTTTATTAAGGTCGGCCACCGAGCTCGCTCATCCGATCTTAAGCGTTCTGCTGGAAAAGCGGTCCTTGTATTTTACGCCAGGCCTCGTAGTCCTGCAGCAGCCGACTCACCAATTTAGTCCTCCGCTTCGGTCTCAAATCAAAATTGTGGAGTTGGACAGGCTGGTCCTGACCATCCCGAGCGTGTTTCCGAGCCTCTCGGGCCATGAATTTCCCAGACTGTCCGTCGATGACGCAATAGACATGGCCTTCTAGTAACTGACCGTCGGCCTTGCGGCAATAAACGGTTAGATGGTCGTCATCATCTACTCCATGGTTGCCCGTTACGTCGGAGGCAGAGGTAGTATCATGCGCCCCCCCGCTTCGTATTTAGAATCGATTAGTATAGTATAAGAGCTTGCGCATCCATCAGATATGGTAGAATATCATAGGGATGGGTAGACTTACCGCAGCCAAACGTGAGTAAGGAACTCTTGAGTAGCCAGGAGGTGACAGACCTGCTCGATTCCGTCCTTCAGACTTAGGTCCCCGGGCTGCTTTAGCCAGATGATCTACTGCTGAATCAACAGTCGCCGTGTAAAGGGATGACGACAGAAGAAATACCTCGGGATCATCCAACGTTCCATCGCCACAGCTATCCCAGGGTTTGTCTTTCTCGAAAAATTTGGTCATCTTCATATTGGCGTAGAGCGGTCCTTGCGATGCAAATAATGACACACGACTGGGAGGTGGTTCTTGGGATGGATAACAAGATGCCCGCAACGCATGACCTTATTCCACACGCGGCCGGTACATGTTTTCTACACCGGGGAACTACTAGGATTGCTAAATTTTCATAGCATTGCCCTCTTCAAGAGCATGCGTCAAATCTGACATCTAGATTTAGGGTTGGTTTGCGTGGTGTCGGGAATACAAAAATATGTTTATCCCCGTGCGGCCACCAGATAGTGCGACAGTCTGCATGCTTTTGCATTTGTATGAGGCCAGGATAGAAAGAGAGACGACGAAAATACAACGAAAACAATGTGTCAACACAGTAAAACTTGTCGTCTAGCAAATGCAATTGCTCAATCAATCACCCACTCACTATTCACAGTTTTGTGGCATCAAGCACCTTCCCTCTCTCTTCTTCTCTCTTCCCCGGTCAAGACGAATCAATCACTCTATATCTTACAGCATCGTTTCCTTCGGCATTCTTTATCTCGCGTCACTGCTGTGTAGCTCACTCGTGACGCCTCGCATCTCTACAGGATATTTGGAGATTTCCACCCGGCCAATATCCTCGTTCGACTTATTAATATCGACCATCTTTCTGAGGACGAGCTCTTCTCTCTAATCGACGAGCCAGATGAGATTCTAGTCAAATGTGAATCTGGCGGAGACCCTCCAGATTCATCCCCAAAGTACCTTATCCCCACGGCCGACATAACAGCCCTCACTAAGTCTGTCTACCTAGCGGACCAGATCACCATCATCGATTTTGGCGAGTCATTCGACTTCTCATCGCCTCCATCAAGGCTTGGAATTCCGCGCCAGTATATTCCACCTGAGCTTCTTCTTTCTGGCGGACCACCAGCCTCAGGGCCAGCCGCTGATCTTTGGGCTCTCGGATGCACGCTCTTCGAGATTCGGCAGCAGAAGCCTCTCTTCGCCGGCAAACCAGACCAGATTGTTTGCCAGATGATGCGCGCGCCTGGAAAACCCCCTGCCGAACTGTGGGACAAGTGGGAAGCCCGGAACGAGTTCTTCGACGACGAGGCCAAGTGGACTCGGGACTCCAGCACCTTTTCCATCGAGTGGTGTCTCGAGCAACGACGAAGCCTATGCCAGCCAGAGCCAGGGACGCGGGGCTATCTGGAAACGCCAGTTGCGGAACAGAAGCTGTTGGCTGATCTCTTGTATCAGCTATTCCAGTACGACCCGGCCAAGCGACTGACAGCGGAGCAGGTACTGGAGCATGGGTGGTTAGCGGCAAAGGATTGATCCTGAGTCGCACTGTGAGCTTGGCAGATCGAGGGTGGCTCCCCCTAATGAGTGACGGTCTAGTCGCGAGGGATTTCGCAGCTGCATGATGCTAGACAAGATTGGTTTGGCTGATTCGATGTCAACTGGTTGGTTGTGCAGCGTCGGCCTGTTATGTGTAGATCACTCCCATAGGCAGCAAGGGCAGTTCGCTCGCCATTGCCACTGCGTTTAGCCTGAGAATGTGAACCTGAACAAGAGCATCAAAGGCGGTGAAAGGGGGGGGGGGGGGGGGGTGTTCTTTGACCCTAGTCTCGATGTAATCTATTTCTTTCATTCGTACATCCAGCTGTGGCTAAGCGCCTAGCAGGTTCAGCAACGGGTCCTGGCCTCCCTGCGACGCGTCTCTTTGTCTCAACGTGTTTGGGTGATGGACTATGTGTTTTTATTATCCCGATTCGCCCAAGTCTCATGAGCCCGTTCATGCGTCCACGACTTTCGTCTTGACATACCTTGAAGGCTATTGTCAGTCAAATATACTTGCCTTGCCAGCTTCGGTGAGTTCCCGTTTCCAGACTTGGTAGATCGCCGACTCCCAAGCCAGCATCTTCCCTCCAGATCGCCCTGGGTGCTGCAGTGACAGTGGCCACACTCAAGATGGAGGCTCTTGTAGTGGACCATCTGTGCTTTGAGGTGAAGCCTGACGATGGCCAAAGAAGGTTTTAGTTAACCGTTTCTTTTTATGTTCTGGTTAGTGTCCTCTTCTGAAAGCAACACAATATTAAGAGTTTCTGTCGCTTATCTTCCATGAACTGGCTTAACTCATTATGGAGCGATTTCCTCCTCTTCGAAACGGCCTCGCCACTCATGTGAGCAATTTTAAGCTTTGATGGTGTCATCCCACACCCGTTTAACCATCTTCTTCATATTTCAGCCCCGTTCATGTCGGGTATCCTACTCACGGCCGACGATATTACCACCAAAGGAAATGTGCATGGCTAGGGCGGCGTAGTGCCTCGGGATATCGTTGAGCTTATTATTATAAGTTTCCTGTACAGCGAAAGATACGCCACACCATAAAGATCTAGAGGAATAATTTACCACTTCAACCCTACGTGTCTCTTGATCCCAAGCTCAATGCTCTATTGTTAGGCATCCAGATCAACTCCGACCAGTCGCGGAAGGTCCACATACCGGATCACGCTCAAACAGGAGCCGAATACACCTCCTTCGGGTTACGATCACGCCTCCCGTCAGAGCAAACGATTTCCAGTCAGGGCTGTCTTTCGAAATATCAACATTTATTCCAAAGAGACTTTAAAATAGAAATGGTCCGATTAGTTGACTGCGAACACTTTGAAAAAGCTGTGCAAAACGAAAGGTCGCCGCGTACAGAATGGCACATAACCGGAAGAAAGATGAACTAGAACAATCAGCGAGAAGTACTGCAGGCAGGAGACAGTCACTACATAGTTGTCCAGGTAAGACGATCTTCGGGCTCAGTTAACCCATCAAGGGCCGGGCTGCAACTATAATAAAGCCCGGGTTAACTGAGCCCCAAGATCGTAAAGGTGGCAGTATTAGTTAATGAAACTCAGAGCTTGCTAGATATATTATTGAGAATGTCTCTAAGGTTATTTAGATTCAAAAGGTCTATTTGAAGCTCCTGGATAAAATTTTCGCTCCGTCTGAAATCGTTCGATTCATCGAATGGAGCAAAGGCATTTGGTGTGTTACCAAAATCAACCAGCCGATGCAGCATGAGACTTATGTGAGCCACATGAATGAAAGTAAAGGAATGGGCTGATTGAGAAGCTCACGAACTAAGAAAAAAATGCAAAAAGCGTATATGGTTGCTCAAATGATTCTCAACTCCGTTTCGTAGCCTGGTCCACGTCCACCTGCCTTCGAGCTTATTAATGAACTGAATGCAAAACTGAGCTCCATATTCGGGAATACTGCTACGCTGAAGTATACTGAGAAACTTGATTGGCCTAGATGTTGGGCTGATGCTCCCGGTAGGATGTTGAATAATGCCCCATAAGATGATGAGTTCTCGTACGTTTAGTAATTCTGATGGCTTCAAATACCACGATATGGGGTAAGTAGGAAACTAAGTTGCTAGATAGAAGTAAACTCTCTGAAATGATCTTTTGAGAGGCCTTCCTTGTTTTAGACCGAAGAGGAGGCGGTTATCTGTTTGGGTGCTTTGAAGCCGAGGAAGTCCTCATGCATCCACGCCGGGGGAGAATTCTTGCATAAACTGTTTCCCCTAAACGTTAGTCTCGCTCATACGGGTTCGAGTAGAAAGTGATCACCGGCTTACAATAGACGCATTCTGGGCTCAACAATCCATGAATGTTCTGCGAGTTCCAGCGCAGATTTGTTGATTGATGTGAAATGCAGAGACTGAAATATCTGTTTAAGTTTTACAGGGTTATTACGAATAATATCAATGAATTAAAAATTATTTTGTTTAAAAGCTTTAATTAATGCTTGTGACGATCCTGAAGCAACGAGGTTGGATGCCAGGGAACGTGAGCCGGGTTTAGAGCATCGTGGGACAGGTTAGTCTACCCTACTGATGACCTCGCCTCGATGGTAATTGAGCTTAGTACGAGAGAAAAAGGGGATACAAATAACTGGTTTTTGCGAGGGATATCGAGATAAGAAAGAAAGAGAGAAATAAAAATACATATAAAGCTATATCTATATTAGATATTTTTTTAAAACTCTACTTCACCGACACCATCTGTCTGACAAAATGGAGACAGGCCCAAGGGAACATCAACGAACATCCGATTGTAATATGAATAACCAGGCTACATAATCAATCATGATGGAGATGGGACTTACGAGATCGTCCAATTGGACAGTTTTGAACTCACCGTAGACCTCTGCACTCGCTTGGCCTCGACGAGGAGGAGACTTCCAAGAGGATCGCGAACATGAGCTTGACCGTGCGACTCTCTCCTCACGAATGGCCGAGTGTGTTTGTATAAACCAGCCCTTGTCAGGGGAAGACTCTCCTCACCACCCGCTCCCCAGTATCTGGTCCAGCTGTGACGAGCATGTCATGTCGTCGTTTGACTCCTCGCTGGTTACATGCGCGTAGGGGAAAACCGCGACATTCTGGAAACGAACTGGACCACGGAAACCAACATCGAATTGGACATCAATTCCCGTGCTCTGTGCAGGAGCTCGTCCCGGGCGATCCGGACCTTGGTCGCATGTACATCCTTAATAAGGCCACGCTCGTCGACAAATCCCTCCTCCCGGATGTGTTCCTCAGCCTCGTGCCCACCTGGAACAGGGAACGCCTACAGACCGATCCTTTGGCGAGTCTGGGTATCGTAGTGCAGCAGACTCTACCTGGCCACCAGCAACTGGCCTATGGAGATGATTCTCACCGGACATGGCAGTAAACTTGGTAAGAGGAATATCCCTGGGGTTACGAGTGGTATTTCCCGCATGTGGATGACCAGATCCACAGAGCAAGAGATGACCCAAATTGATGTTTGATCGCCCCAAACGGCCTTTTGCATCGCAATATTGAATCGCATGTACTTTCCGGAATCACACGTTAGAGACTTACCCATGATGTTGTAGATGAGGATATCCGAGACAAGGCCCTCGCCAGCAACCTCCTTGTAACTGTCGAGAATGTAGGTACCACTTCCACAGTGGGCAGATCCTTCTCGGGTAGACCCTCCACGGGGACCCCCCCCCCTTGGCTCACATCTCCGACCTCTTCCACCATGACGGCGCGACTTGCTCCTGGTCATAGGGTGGCACACATGTGAATCCTTTTCGCGCGGGCACCTCTCACCCTTGCGGCCTGAGTTCTATCCCTTGCGCTGCATGATGCGATGCGCGATGTTGGGATTCAGCTAGGACTCCCAGTTGCCAATGTCGTAGGTACCGCCCAGGATGGTGCCACCACCAGCTGCTCGCTACATCAGGTACATGACATAACGGTTTCATCTGCATCGAAGACAAAACAGACGCCTCCAGAAACAACCAGTGTCTCATCGGGTCCCCAGGTCGGCCGGCCTGCGGCGTGGAAGATCTTTTCGTCATGATCAAGAGTCAAATTCTTGTCTTGGCCTCCTCATGTTTGACATGACTTGGAGCCTTGCCTGATGATGGAATGGAATGTTAATTGTCGATCTTGTATGTCGCTTATCCTGGCTTCAACTATGATAGAATACTTTCCAACACATCATATGCCAATGTTAACACAGTGAGCAGAGGTTCAACGATTCTCAGGATATAAAATATCAAGGATATACAATCATCTTCTCACCAACAATATTCACTGCATCAGGGAAACTTTACTTGGTTCTGAACTCCAAGTACGACGACTCTGTAGTGAAGGACAAGCTCGACAAGCTGTGAGCTCGTCTCATTTGGCAGTTGCGGTATAGACGGTGAGTTGCAGCTTGCCTCCGTTCTCGTTGGCGGCGTTGAGCTTGATGCTAAGCTCATCTCGTTCGGCGGCGATGGTGTCTAGCTCTCCGGCAAAACCTTTTATAATAATATTATAGCTATTTTCCCAAGACACGATCATTTCTACATGTAGTCGAATCTCGACCAGGTTCTCAAGGAGAGCATGCCCGGTACATGTGAGACTACTGTAAGTTGTTAGTATCCTCTGGGTCAAGTATCCCATCCATGTCTGAGCTTCAACGATAGCAAAGAACACGTTATCAATGCATCATACCATCATGAGGGGTGTGAAGCGCGTTTTGGGAGGTTTGATGGCTAATGAGTTTCCGACTCCAGTCAAGAGAGCGGCCACAACTGAAGTACCTCGGCGAGCGGCTCGGACATTAGCAAGTAGGGTTCTTTTACACTGTAATTATGCTAAATGAATGCCGGGGTGAATTCTCTAGGACTCCTTCGCTTCGGAGCAACGCCCATTTTGATTCGCCGAATCGAGGTTGTGATTTGAAAGGCACTCGTGATGTATTGCTCATGGCCTCTTCCCAGCACCAAATCTCTGCACAGCCTGTGGCATTGCAGGATTCTGGGGTCGACAGTTTGGTATAGTCAGTCCTCTGGTTGCCCAACCTTTTCACGGGCGGTCAATTAGACCAGTCCCATATGAGGATAGAGTTTTTCGGATATTACTTGCCCCTTCCATTATGTTCAAAGATAATATATGCGCCAACCAGATAAGTTTGGCAATTCGCCGAGATATTATATTCAAGCTCTAACTAAGCCTATACTCCTCTACTACCCAAACCTTTCCATCTTTACGACCGAAACCTTCTTCTTTCCTAATACCCGTTGGCTCATGTGGGTTTATTGACCCAGGCGAGCCAACCTAGTAAGCTAGGTTAGCCATAAAATTATAATACGGCCATAAAATTATAATATATTATAGGGCCCTAATTTCCCCCTTAAAAAGCCGCCTTTTTCGGTCTCTTAGTTTTAGAAGCTATCTAGAGTAATTTATAAAGGTATAAAAGAGTAAATTAAAGCTATTAGTAATATCTAAAGTAATAATATTAATAATATTAATAATATTAATAATAGCTATAATAAAAGCCGCCGCCTAAGCCTCTAAGGCCGCTACCTTCTTAGACGATTCCTTATATAAATTTAGCTATAAGAGTATCTTTTTAGCCCTCTGGGCTAGCTTCTTATATAGCCCTTACTCGTATAATAATTCTTATAATCCTCTATATCCCTAATATATAGTATTAAGGCTATATTAGGCATGGCATAGAACGGGGTTTAGGTAGTAAAGATAGTAGCCGCGGCGATAAGGGTATAACTAGCAGCGATAAGGGTATTTATAGTAGAGGCTTAAATAAAGGGAATTCCTTATTATTTTCTTTTTCTTCTTTTTCTTTTTCTTCCTTAATAAGAGCTAATTTAAGCTAGAAAGTAATATTATTATTATTTCCTATGAGAGTAGTTTAGTCTATTGCGCTAAGGGGTTTTAAGGTAAAACTAATATTATAAATAGCTTTATTAACTTCCTATAATAATTATATATCTATTATAAAAGGGTTAGGCTTTTAAGTAAGTATTTAATATATAATTAAGTATTATATCTCTATAGAATAATACTTAATATCCTTCCTTATATATTCTAATTACTAAGACTATAATACTTTCTTCTTTATATTATTAATAATAATCTCTTTTTCTTATTACTATTAATCCTTAATCTTCTTTATTTCTTAGATAATAAGACTATAAGCGGTCTAGACCTATGCTTTCTCCTCTTTCTATTAGGCTTTAGCGATAACCTCCTCTTACTACTTTTAAATCTCTTATAGATTAATATTATAATTAAAATCCCTTATTAGCTTTATTCTTTTTCCTCTCTTCTTAGTATTATATCTCTTTTTAATCTAAGCCTAGCGGTTATTAATATAGGCAATAACTATAGATTTAAGAATTATAGCTTTTATAATAATATTATATATTTAATAAAGCCTAGTATATATAGGGGAGCTAAAGATATCGCTATAATAATCTAAGAGTTATTTAGTAATATCTATAGCGGCCTAGAAGCGAGATTTATTAGGGAAAAAAGAGGTATAGGCTAGGTTAATAGTATGACGAGAGGATATTTCCCACGGGATAAACCGGTTATACTGGTTTATATTAGTAGAGGAGAATATTACGTAACCCTAAAGGGTAGTATAATATTATATCTAGTAATATACTTAAAGGTATTAAGTATAACTAAGTTATATTAATAGCTAAGGTAATTATTATATAAGAAAATATAATAAGCGCGTTTTATATACTTATAGTTAATCTTTAGACTAATACTCTCTGGGTTTAGTCTAGGGTGGGACTAATATTTCTAATATTTAGTCCCTAGACCGATGCGGGCGATGTTCGGTCCCTTTGGTCCCTTGCTTAGTCAGAGTATTTCTGCCATATATCATGGCTATGACACGAGGTTCCCCCTCTATTAGTCTTATCCTTAAGACTAATTTTAGCGACCAAATATTATTAGTAGGTAACTCTGATTTATAAAAATCTCTTTTTATTAATGCGATATTAGGCCGAGTTTCTAAGTATATTTCCTTATAAAAACTTTCTAAAATATAGGGTTTTTTTATTTATATTAAAGCTTTTAGTTTTAAAATTATGCCTTATACTTATTACTTCTACCGGGGCTTATCTTATAAGGTAATTTTTAATTATTTTAATTATTATTCTAATTATATTAATACGAAAGTAATATATAATAGAGCTAATATAGCTTTCTTCCATAGGTATATATTAATACTCCTTTATAGCTATTAACTAATCTTTTATAATTATGAAAAATATCTAGGAGTATAAGCGCTTAGAAGATAAGGAGGCTAAAGTAGAGGTTACCTTAGAGAAGGCAATAGCTAAGCTTACTTATATCTAGAAATAAAAGAGGTTACTTAAAGCGCGTAGTAATAAGGCCTTTAAGCGCGGCCTATATGCCTTAGAGGAGTTAGGCGAGCTCCGCGAGGAATTATTTATTATTATAGAGGTATATTCTTTTAGGGCTATTAATTTAATTAATTAGAATACTATTAGTCTTAATAAGCCTATATTTAGCGTTATTAGTAAAAGTTCTTGAGAAGGCATTATATATTAATAAGGTATTCTAAGGGTTCTTATATGTTTTCTAAGTTAAGGTAATCTTTCTATTTAATAAAATATATTATTTTACTATTAATTTTATTTATATTAAGGATAGCCTCTATAATATATTTTTCTAGTCTATTAACTTCTATATTAGGCTTATTACTTATTTTTACTTAAATAATATCTCGCGCTAATTTAAGTAATAAGATATAAAAGATTAAATAGAGCTTAACCTTAGGTAATAAGTCTAATTTATAGTTATATTTTAAGATTTTCTTTTTAATTTTATATAATCTAATATATTTATAATTAAGTTTTTTATTTTATTATTTTATTTTAATATTTTTTATTATGAGGTAGATTATATTTCTCTCTAAGAAGGTTAATCCCTTAATCCTTTTCTTATTAATATAGGTTATTATTCTATTCTTAATAAATTCGAGTTCTATTTATATTTCTTTATATAGATTATATAGTTAATTACTAGCAAGGATTACTTTAGGGTTAATAATAGTATCTTATAATTATCGGTAGGTATTTAGTATAAATCTAAAGTTAGCATATATTAATATAGTTTTTATGCTTTTATTTATAGCTATATTATAGGCTAGCTAAGTAGCTAATAATTTTTTAACTTAGTTAATTTATTTATAGTTAATATAATATTAAAGGTATTATTTTAGTATCTAATTTATATATTCTATTTAGCTATTTATCTCCTTATAATAAGCTATAAAGAGTTTATAATTAATTCCTAGGTATCCTATAAGGCTTTGCTAAAATTTTAAAATAAATAATAGTCCTCTATCTATAATAATTTCGAGTAATATATTATATATCTTAGCGATATAAAAATAAAAGAGGTAAGTAAATTCTTTAGCTATTATTAATTCTCTATAGGATATAAAATAAGAAAATTTTATAAGTTTATTTATAATAATAAGAATACTATTATAGAAGTTTCTAGTAATTAATTCTTTTAATAGGGGTAATTTAGTAATAAAGTCTATTATAATAGCTTCCTATAGTAGCTAAGGTACTAATAGGGGTTATAGTTTACTATAGGGCTTATAGCGTTATGCCTTAGTTTTTACGCAAAGGTTATATTAACTAATAATTACTAAAATAGTCTTTTTTATATTAGGAAAGGTATATATTATCTTAACTTATTCTAGGGTTTTAATAATTCCTTAGTATCTATATAACTAATAGCTATATATTTCGCATATAAGGTTATATTATAATTCCTCTAGTATTTATTATTTATCTATTTTTTTATTATCTAGAAGTTATTTATTATACTCTAAGATCTTTATAAGGAGTAAATTACCCTATTTTATTATATAAATTATATTTAGGTATTATTATTACTTAATATATATAATAACCTATTATTATAGATATCCTTCGGGTATAAAGTATAATAATTATTTCTTAGTTTAGATCTTTTTTATATCTAGGTTAAGTCTCTAGCTAATAGTATT